AAGAGCTCACCGATTGAATCATTAGATCCGGAGATATTTACATTTAAAGTTAAGGTACGAACTTTTTAACATGCTTAAATGTAAATATCTTGGGATCTACTGATCCATTTTTTATAAATTTAGGCTCTTTGGAAAGCCTTTGATCTGGTCTATATGAACAAAAAAAGAGCTTGCCAATTGGATCACTAGATCTGGAGATATTTACATTTTAAGTTGAGATACAAATTTTTAACATATATAGTAAGTGCTAAGAATTATATTAATTTAAAAGAAATATTTACCAAATTATAGTATAATAACATTAAATAAAAATTTTTTAATACTCATTTCCAATTTACTGTATATTATATAGTATTTTGTATAATAAAAATGTAATAAAATTAATATTTTAATTAAAGGTAGACAAATCATAAATCATTTTTTACTAGTGTTAATTTTTTTTTTGTTTATATAAAAGAATGTTTTTAATGTTTTTTTGTTTTTTTTTTAGGTTTCAATACTCCAGAAATTCTTAAAATAAATGAACAGTAAGTTTCATGTTGTGAAAATAATAATTTTTTTTATTTTTTTATAAAAGAATATTTTTAATGTTCTTCGTTTATTCTTTTTTGTAAATCCTAATACTTTAAGGTTGAAATGATAAGTTTCACAATAAAAATTGTTACAAAACTTCAATATTTTTTTATTTTTCAAAAAATATTTCTAACATTCTTTATTATTTTTATCTTGTAAATTCTAATACTTTAAGATTTCTAAAATGAAAGAATAGGTAAGTTTTTGCAACAAAATGTTGCAAAACTTGAATTTTTCTTTATTTTTTTCATTAATTCGTGATCCGCAAATAAAGTAGAGAGTCCTATATCAAAAATTGGAGGTCATTATATAATAGCGCAGAATCTGATGTCATGGCAAACCAAAGTACTAATTGTTAAAATATAATATAAAAACTAAGTTTATTGCCATCAAATTATGTTATTTGGCTTACTTTTTGTTGAAAGTCCGGTAAATTTTTTGAGCACTATAAATGACTTACTTATAGGCGTAAAGGTAAAAATGCCTTATTTTATAATGTTGCGAATAATGGATTTTCACTTTTAGGCTTATAGGAAAGTTATTTCTAATTATTGAAAATTTTACCAGACTTCTAGTAAAAAGTTAGCTAAATGGTATAATTTTATGCTAATGGTTTTAGTTTTTACATCATATTTAAAAAATTCGTATTTTAATTTGCCACGTTATCAGATTTCACGCTATTATATATTACTATATATAACTTAACCCTGGTTTTTAATAATTAGATTCTCTACTTTTTACGCGGATCACGAATTAAGAATATTTTACTAAACATTCTTTAATATATTTTTTTAGGAATGACTTTCTGGACCATTGAAGATGAAATGAATACAAGATAAGTTTTTTTTTACTTTCTTGTTAAGAACATTAATACTAACATTTTTTTTTTTTTTTTTTATAGGTTTCTTTACTAAATTCTGGATTTTTTGTTATAGATGATAAGAATTGAAAAACAAATAGATACTGAAGATAATATATTATATATGCAAATTATAGTATTAAATATATTGTAAGCAAAAATAGAATATTATTAGTATTAAATATATTATATAATAAAATTATTAATATTAAATAAAATACAATTTTATGAATTACTAAATATTCAGTATAAAAATACTATGTGAATTGTAGGTTAAAACTTAATCAAGTGGCAATCTAAATTAATATTCAATATAAACTTTTAGTTAAAAGATTTGTCAAACTTTAACCAGATTTCAGCCATAATTTGGGCTAAATTTGTCTATACAAAATCTAGCCAAATTGGACTATTTTAACTAGTGATTGTATTTACAATAAAAAAATTAATACATTAAGTAATAAATTTTATAAATATAAGGTGAAATGGAATATTATAAAAATGAATTATAGTAATAAGTGTAAATTAGAAATATTGCATTATTTATTTTTATTTCAATTGCTATAGATTTAAAATTTTTCTATCTTTACCATGAAACTTAATACTTTATATTATTATCATATACACTGGTTAAAAATTAATATATCAGATAGCAAATATGCATCAGATATATACCCAATATGTGTAGTAAAAATGCAAAAAATCAGGTACTCGATATGTGTAGGTATATTTGTTTATTCACAGATGGCAGATATGGGTGACAATGGCAATGGCTATTTTTACCAATTCTACAAATACATCAGCTAAAATTGTATTTTGAAATTTTATATTTTTTACTACTTTTTTTTACTGGAGCAATGAAATTCCAAAGTTATTCTACAAATTGCTGATTATTAATCAAATTTTTAATTGCATTTACATGCACAAAAATTTGTGATTCTTGTTCAAAAACTTAATAATTAAAATAATATTTAATTATAATTGTATTAATTTTATAAGAATAAAATAAAAATTTAACAGATCAGATGTTATTTTTATTTCTTAAAAGAGATTTACAATAGTTCTATACTATTGATCTTATTTTTGTAGAAGTTTTTAAATTTTCACCAATAGTAAATATATGAAATATTTCTTCTCTAAGAGTAGCATCTGCAAAATAAGAATTCTTAAAAAAACTAATTATTTTTTGACAATCTGAAAGTACTTTTTTTTTTACCTAAAGGTAGTTACAAATATCACTTAAAATAAGTTGGATATGATATGCAATGCATCTCATGAAAATACTTATTTGCAACTTGCCATTTATCAGCCATTATTGCAGATTCTGCATTTGTGATAATAGCAGAAAATTTTTTGGAACTAATTTTTTCTAAAATTTCTAGCATTTTTCTATGCTGTATGTAAGAAACTTAATACATCTTCTAATGAATAAATGTATTATTTTCATTTAGACGTCATTATAATAAATACATAAATTAAATGCTTCAATGAACTTGCCCAATCATTAACCCCTTTAATAAAAAAAAATTTAATGTATTTAATAAAATTTATATTAAAATGTAATATTAATAAAAAAAATACTTACATAATGTAGGATTTTTTGTTTTTACCAATTTTTTTTGATTTTTAAGGTAATATTTGCAAGTTCTCCATCTAAATGAGTAGTTGCAAAAGCAGTTTATTTAGGTGAGTTGTATCCACTATTTAAAGATTTAGTAAAATCATCAAAGTATAGAAAGTCAGCTACAACAAAAGGTATTCCTGAATAGACAAACTATCTGATAAGTGCTTCATTAGTCTAATTACTCTTTACTTCATCAATTTTATCATCATTATAAAAGTTTTCTAAAGTTGTCTGACTATTAGATATTTTTCATTTTTTATTTGATGATATAGATAAAGTTTCTGAAGATTTATGCTCATTATCAATTTCTTGAAAAAAATTTAGCTGAATATCTTTAGGTACACATTTTTTGCATTTTATTGCAAAATAACTCTTCATTTCATTTGCTTTTCTTCAATTCTATAAAGAATACAAATTGCTCTTTAATGTTTTTCTTTTTTATTATTAATTTCTGCAAAAAATTGTCATACAGTATGTTCCCTTTAAGTCATCTTCCAATATTTGGTAATGGTATTTCTTTGTTTAATTGATTAGATGGAAGGTTTATTTCACTTGAATGTTCACTATTCCCACTTTTTGAACTCTATACACTTGTATCCTCTCTAAAATTATTATTTAACTAATCTATCTCCAATTATATAATAATATTAATTACCAATAAGATACATGTTCTATTGTATATAACAACAAAGATAGTTATAACCTACATGTTAATTGTTAAACATGCAAAAAATTTTTATTTTGATATTTTCAAAATAATATTTAAAGGAAATTCCATATTAAATTTATCTATTTGTCTATTAAATTTGGGATTTGTCTGAATTTGGCCATTTGGAATTATGACTATCCAAACTAGGTTTTTCCTGTTTTTCCATCATGGGATTTTAAAAGAAGCCAGAAAATTCCATTTGTCCTGGTATTTTTACTGAGCAAATCCCAAACTTTTAGATTTGGATGGCAAGTATAGTTACAACACATATAAATTAGATTTCTCTATCCCAGTAAATAGTTTTTGTATAAATTTGTACTAAATGGGTTCATCCATATATAATTGGCTCTAGATTGGCTTAAATTTGGATTATTTTTTGCATAAATTTGAGCTAATTTTAAGCCAATGAGCCTGTTTGGTATAAATTTATACAAAAACTATTTACTGGGTATATGAAATGATCATTTAAATCAAAAATTTTATGCTATTGTAATTTTACTAAGCTTGAGAACTTTTTTTTTCAATTTAAGGCCATTTTACTAATAGTAAGTTTTTCTTGACCCAAATTATCTATCTTGGTTTGCATGATAATAGAAAAAGCTATAAGATTTTTTATTTCAAATAATATATGCATTTTTACTAATATACTCATAATTATATATTGAATAATGTGATGGAAATATGCATAATAATGGAAATAATATATTAGGCTTATTGTCAAATAGGTATAAGAGATTATACCCTTCAATACTAGCTTCTTTACTATGACATAGTAGTAAAAGAAAGGGAAAAAATACAGTCTGCCTTGGCCAAGTAATAGAAGAAGATATGAGTAGAAATCATAATCTTAAATGAAAAGCATTTAATACTAGAGTGGTACAATCAGAAATGTGGAGTAATGTCTCTATTAGTTCAAATTCAGCTTCAGTGATTTTACTATTTATGTCATTATATTTTTTGATTTTTAGCTCTGGAATATCTAATAGAGGGCTTTCTATAACTACTGGTTTATTGCATCATTGCAAGTGAATCATAAAGTTAAAGATAGTTCTATTATTTAAATGAATAGCTTTTTTCATACAAATATGATCTCTGGTTTCTTTAATGAATTTTGGCATTCAAGGAAAATGATCATTTATTTGTGATGTTATTAATAATACCTTTTCCTTACAATCTTTCTGGAAGTTTTTTACAAATAAGCTCAGTGAATACTGCAACCTAATCAATGTTTGAAAGTCTCATGCTGAAAGTTGAAATATGAAGAGGTGTGTTTTAATCTGATTGTCCAAAAGTTTGGGTGTGATAGTATCTAATATATCTTTTGGCAAATCGAAATCAATGACAGGATGAAGTGGCTTATTGCCATCAATGATTTCATGTAAGGAGTGGCCTTTACAAGCTGAGAGTATGGCTTCTATTCCATCCTCATTGTCTGCGCCAAGGAAATGTCTTGGTCTAACACTATCATCACAAATTTTGAGTCATTGACTGATATCAATGGCTTTAAACCACAATAGTATGAGGCAGGCGCATTGAGGAACTCTGAAAGCTTGGATTGGGTTATTGTAATATATCAGATGACTTTTTGTAGAAATACTATATGTGTCCAGAAAAAGTTTAAAATAAAAATTAATTCCCAACTAAAAAGTATCTGATATCAATTTATAGCAAAAAAGAAATTATCTTAAAAGATGGCATTCTATCGCTGTGAATACATTCTAAGAAACGGGAAAGTTTGTGGATGAGGAAGTTATAGACTTGAGGGATGCGGATATCACTGGAAATCCCCAACGTGTTCCATGTAAGGAGTGTGGCAAGATTACATCCTCTACCTATGGTATGTGCAAAAAGCATGTGGGAAAGTACCAAAATATGGAATACTACTATTGGCAAAAGCTTGCAAAAATTCAGGATACATCCCAGCAACCCATCCTAGAAAATTCGTCCAAGTTTTCTAGGACGAGCTAGGATGGAATCTTGGACAGAAAAATATAGCTAAATGGTGATTTAAAGCCGAATTAAAGGGAATTTGAATACCCGTCCAATTGTCTAAGAAAAAATCGAGATTCTTTACTTTTTTTTCAATAGGGAAACTAACATATATCATCCATATAATGGTATACACCATAAACATATAGCTACGATTTTTCCTAGAATCTTTATTTTACTTGGACAACTAGGACAACTAGGACGTAGGTTAAAACGAAGAAAGAAGCTTTTCTCCCGTCCTCCCTATAAAAAAATTTTATCCGTTATTTCTGTAAAAACTCCGTAAAAATGAGCCTTTCACGGATCCATTCACGGAAAATGTAAATAATTCGATAAATTCCGGGATATAAGGTATTAATTCTGGAAATATGAGCCTTTTACGGGAATATAAAAAATGGATCGATTTTTTTAGTTCCCGTCCTAGTAACTGTGACAACTTGGACGCAATTTTCTGGAATTATTTTCTCAGCCTAACATGAAAAAAAACTGTGTTGCTATATTAAAGTTATGTAAAAAATAATTATTCTGAAATGTATACAACAAAAATAAATCCTCCTAAATCTTCTTTCTTTTATATGTTTTTTTTTATTAATATTATGCCATATTTTATATTTAAGTTTCATGTAAAATGAGACGATAATTTATTTATTAGCCAACGGCTAGCCGGTTAAGAGTAAAATACATATTATTTTATACAGTACATATATAATAAGAAAAAATAAACTTTAATCTAATCCCGGTATTAAATTACTAACCAAATTGGGAATCCAAATATGATTCGTAACTTATGCCAAGAGATTCGTCATAACCATCATCGTAATCGTCGTAAGTACTTAAGTAATTGTCTTCATCTTCTGAAAAATAATAATCGAGTTCTTTAAACATTTTAATCATGGCGTTGGCACAAATATATTGTAACTTTTTAGGATCATTTGTCCGGCGACTAACTCGTGGTTGAGTTATAATCAGAGATTGTGATTCCATCAAAGATTTATCCAAGTGAAAGTAAAACTTTAAAGGGATTTCGTCATTTTTGTTAAAATGCCAATGTTCGGTCAAAATCTTTGAATTTTTCGAAACTTTTAAACGATAACTTTCGTTTTTAGTACCTAAAATCTCAGAAACCTGAGGTGAAGGGCTTGTGATGGCAAATTCGACCAAATTGGAACACCTTTTCAACCACTCCCAATCACAACCGTTGAAGTTCCATTTTACAAGTTCAAGACGTTTGAAGGACTCAAGTCGGGACTGAAATGTTTCGAGCAGCGATCTCCCAGATCCGCTTGGAAATACCAATCGAAGGTTCAAGGGACGCGTTTGAGCAGATAAAAGTTCCTTAAGATGATTGATCGATTCTTCGGCACGTGGAACGGAAGTATCATGAAGATGAATATCCAAATGTGACTAAAAGAAATGTATGATTTTAAAGATGCCATTAGGCGTACTACAATGTCAATAATGAAATTTTTTTATAGGTATAGTACGTACATTTAAAGATACTAACATATCAGTTCAGCGCAATTTTTTGCCAATGATTTCATAACATTATTTTTGGGGAAAGGGGTGTGTATTTCAACGTAATTGAGGGAACTGAACATTGAGGCATAACATGGTGCCGTCCACAATCTATAAACTCTTTCATTATTCGCACCAGTATTATCTATAATAAAAGTTTTTAGGCGAATCTCATACTTTGTTAGCATTTGAAGTATTGCTTCAACTTTCTTAGCCATTTCATACATTTTTAAACAAGCCAATAAGTTTGTATAATTGAGTTCTTTGATAAACAATGGGTAATCGAAAAAAGGCTTTTGAACCGTTTGCTGCGTAGACTTTTCTGCCGTTTCAAGAAATGATTCATAAACCTTCAATGCGGTGGTACTCCTCTTCATTGTAAAACTGAATGGAGCCTTCCAATACATTGGAACAGTGGCTCGACACCATTCTCGGTTAACCAGAAGTGCCGAATGTAAGTCACGGGCACTGAAATCTTCGATGACCTTTGCAATAACATCTACCATTGATATTAAAAAGAAAAAAAACCTCTATCTGGGAAAGATGTCGGGCGGCAAAAAGTTGAATCTTGAACAATCGGCTTTTATTTCTCTCATTATTTTACCATATATAGCCAACTCATTTGAATCATGTGTTACTCTCACAATGAAAGTGTAACCATTGCTTGTTTATACATCCCTGAACTTTAAGTTTGTTTCATTCTAATTCATTCTAAGCAATTATAGTCTAATCATATAAACCACATAAAAAATCTCTTTCCCGACGAAATATACTGCTTGCCAAAATTAGCACTGCAGATTTACTGCGCCACCCAACACGATTTTTTTTGGTATGGACAACCAAGAGGCCAGCACCCTCAACATAGAACCAAGCGTCTAAACAGATAGGTCAGCCAACTCGATACACTATAGTTTACTAATTAATATATACCAAGACATCATAGTATAATGACTAATGATATGTATCAAGACACCATAGTATAATGACTAACATGTTCTAGGACATTATAGTCTGAATCAAGTGGAGCATATTAGTATTATTTATTTCATGGGGAGTTGGAAATAAATGGGTAATCCCCTGGAGTGTGTCACTCATTAAATATTAATTATTTTAACTATTTTAAACTAAAATTAGTAATTTCCCGGCTACCTATATGAGACTGGGAAATAACTAAACGAAGATTCCCGGTCATTTATAAACACTCGCAATTTTTAAAAATTAGTATGAAGGTGATCATGAGTGACACTTAGTGCTTACATTATTAATATTTGAAAGAATAGAATTAACTGTTAAGCTTTCATTTTAATACTTTATTATTATATTTTAAGCAAATATATGCTGCAGAATTCTCATTGAATCTCTCACATATTTATAACTTTTGCGGTTATACAAAAAGATTCTAATAGAAATTAATCTTATAATTCCTCCATTTTCTTTCTTTTAATTCTGAATTTTCTAATTTCTTTTCTCTTCATTTCCCCTTTCATTTCTTCATTCAGTGGAATATAATAAATGACCGTTTACTTATTTCCCAGCCTCATATAGATAACCGGAAAATTACTAATTTTAGTTTAAAATGGTTAAGTTTAAAATAGTTAATATTTAATGAGTGATACGTTCCAGAGGATTACACATTTATTTCATGGGAAGGGAACATTAGGTTTTTTTCCCTTCGGAAAAAAAACCCAACTTCTCATGAAATAAATAATACAAATGCCTGCACGTAATTACATTTATATTTATTTATAGTCATTTATATTTAGTTTGTTTATATTTATAGTTTGGAAGAAATAATAAGAATATGTAAAAAATTAATATTTAAGAAGATCAGAATATTTAGGATTATTTAGAATATGTTAGTGAAATGGCAAAATATATAAAAGCAAGTAGAATTTGAAAAATCTATAGCTGTTTTAGTTCAATATTATTAAATAAAAATATTAATTATTAAAAGTTATTTTGAATATGCTTATAATTTTGCTTAGGATTTAATTAATATTAAAATAATAAGTTCAGATTAATATGCTTAAGGGAAATTATTGAAGTTTAAAAGTAAAGTTTATAAAGAAAGAAATAATACTGTTAAGTTGAGACAAACTATCCAAATTTGAAATCATTATAAGTAACCAAAAGGTAGTGCTGCTACCTAAAACTTATTTAACAATAAAATTCAAAAATCTGAAACTCAAAAACTTTATTTTTAATGAAAAAATTGGTAAATTCAAAACTTTTCTAAATTATAATTAGTTCCAGAAAATATAAAAACAGTTTAAGCAATTAATTTTATTATAAAAAATAGTTTTGGCAAGCATCCTTACCAAAAGGATTTAATATTATAAAAAAGAAATTATATTATTAAATTGAATACTTTACTAAAAATGGCCAATTTTTTGAAATGATTTTGTAATAATTTTAAAATACTATAAAAATACATTTAATACATCAAAATGTTTTTATTATATTTTTGCTATTATTTTGTAATTGTATTGTATCTAGGTCTATAAAAATAACTCAAAATAATATCACAATAATTTTTTAATGTTTTTGTTATTATTTTATTATTATAATATAATTAACTTTGATATTATTTTAATATTTTAATCTCAAAAATACCTTAAATATATCTTGATATATTTTAAAAATTTTACAAAATAATTGCACAATTGTTTTGAAAGCCATTATATCTAGGTCTATAAAAATATTTCAAAAAATTGGTCATTTTTAGTAAAGTATTAATGTTGATATGAAAAAAAACTAATAAAGATGAAATTTAAACTAAGTATATTAAAAGTTGTTGTGAAAAATATTCATTTAATTTATTAACAGATGGCAGATGTTAGTAATAACATAAAGGTACTGTTAAAAAATTTGCAAAATAAAAAGTATTAGATTTTATATATTATTACCAACATCTGTTATCTATTAATAAATAATAATAATATTCTTTAATTTCAATATACTTAGTTTCTTATATTTTTCTTTAATACTACTTTTAAAGTATTTCCATTATTATTTTTTATTTATACAATCAACCTCCTCTATAATCATATCTCTCAAGTCCATTCAATAGTATGATTATAATGAAGTATACCTATTGGTAAATATAATCATATACCTCTCAGGACCATTTAATAGTATGTTTATAATAAGATATGTCTATTGGTAAATATAATTATACCTTTAGGACCATTCAATAGTATGATTATAATGAGATATGCCTATTAGTAAAGGTATTAATTCAGTATAATAAATATAATTATATATATAAAATATTTACAAAAACATTTATCTGTTAAAGATATTATGAAAATTTTTGAAAAATGCTTACAAAAACAAAATTTTAGTTTAATCAAAATTCAATCTAAAACTATTTTTTATAATAAAATTAATTGTCTAAACTATTTTTATGTTTTTTTAAAACCAATTATAATTTAGGAAAGTTTTAGATTTACCAATTTTTTCATTAAAAATAAAGTTTTTAAATTTCAGATTTTTGTAATTTATATACTTATACAGGAGGAATTTTATATTTATTTATTGTAATACAGGACTGATAATTGGTGTAATTATACTTATACTAATTTTTTTATTTATTTATAGTATGATTAGTTGAGACCCTATATAAACAATATAACTGTACAGGATACAAATAAATGAGAGTCTTCCACTCCCGCTGTGCAATAAGAATGTTCAAGCACACTTGTGTCAAATGACACGCCACACTAAAAAAGAAATAAAATAAAAACAAAAAAAAACAAAATGGAAAAAATAAAGGTAAAAGCTGATAATAAAACTACCCTATAACTACTACACTCCTAAAACTATGCCCACTAATCATTCTGTACTGAATTCCTCAAGATATTCCTAATTTTCTTAACATTAATCTAATTTCAGCTAAAACAGTTAGTTTGTCGATGCTGTCTAAACTTTTGTCAATTTTCTTGGTTCGCTTAGTCTTCTTATATTTTTTATCTGGCTTGAATGTATTAGTATTATTTTGAGATACCTTGGAATTATCATCTTCCTTCACCTTCTGATGCTGGTTCCTTCTTTACTTTAAGTTAAGGGTATACAGTCAACTCTCTTTATAGTCACACATTTGGGACAGTCCATATTTGGTGATTATAAAGAGATGTGACTATATAAAAAATTTCTTATATTTGTATATTATAATTCCTGCCAAAAATTAACATAATTTTAGCCAGAATTATACTTAAAACTTTATTGTATCATAACTTCGCCAATATTAATCGTAGAGAGATGATCTTACAACCATTCGATTCGTCTTGATGAGACGGTTCTAATGGTATAAAATACGTCGAAATCCAATCACTAGATTAATTTCCGAAATTAAAAAAATATTAATGGTTTTTGTGTAATAACTCTGCCAATATTAATC